TAGTAGCTGTAGTTGTAGTTGTAGTTGTAGTTGTAGTTGTAGTTGTAGTAGTAGTAGTAGTAGTAGTAGTAGTACTACTACTACTACTACTACTACTACTACTACTACTACTACTAGTAGCAGTAGTAGTAGTAGTAGTAGTAGTAGTAGCAGCAGTAATTAGTAGCAGTAGCAGTAGTAGTAGTAGCAGTAGTAGTAGTAGTAGTAGTAGTAGTAGTAGTAGCAGTAGTTTGGCTTCGCAACTCTGAACGCAAGGCCCTTACCCGCTCTCCCCCACCGGAGGCCTGCAGTTACCTGCGAATCGTTGATAAAAAGAGGCATCCTCAGTCACAGTGTCAAACGTTCAGCCCAAACCCCTCGGAACCCCTGAACATGGGTTTGCCGGAAATCAATTCTGAATGATGTAGCACCCTGTTGAAACATTCAAGAACACCTTTACACTTTCCCGCTGCCAGAAAAGACCAAGCCCGCAACTGGACCCCATGCGACCTTGCCCACCCGTAGATATATCTCATAGAGGTAGGGGCCTTAATAATTACGATGGGGTCATAAGATCTCCTCACTACTCGCATTACGAAGTATTCAGGATTCTACTATACCGTTGCGAATGCCGAACCCAACCTCCGAAATCAAACCCTGGACGCGAAACCCAAAACCTCCAACGCCAAAGCCCTGGGATTAAAACTAAAGGGGAAGCACACGACACACGAAAAACTAAGATACCGAAACCGCAAGCCACCAGAACTCAAACACACCTGCCAGACCTCTGACCCTACCGGTCCAGAATCACGCTGTACATGATGTAACCACTGAGTGACATACCAGGACGCCTATTTCCATGTGGGATATGGTTTTCGACCACCCACCCACCCATGGCCCTTCGACCCCCAGCCCAACCGAAAAGGCACAAAAGCTGTCTTCAATGACCTTTGTGTACAACATGAAAACTGAAGTTCCTCAGGAATGCCCAGGAAAAGGGCCCTGGCAAATCATCCAGCTCCACTTGGCCCTCAACCATCCTTGGTGGATTCAGGCTTGGGAGTTCCGATGAGCTTTTGTGAAGCTATGTCCCAAACCCTGAATCCTAACACCCCAATCGGCTGCAGGGCTGGAGCAAGCTAAAATAGGACCACTGACGACTACAAGAAGCATGAGCGCCCTTCTTAATTACAGTTGCACGTTGGCAAGTGCAGGTTCGGGTTCGTAGGTCTTGCAGATGCTCAAAGTCCTGGATGCAGGTGTTATGGCCCAGCATTTGGGAGTTTGCGTGCGGGCGTTTCGGTTTACGGCTTAGGACTTTGTGTTGAGGTTTCCGTGTGTCGCTTGAAGCCTGCAACCATCTACTAGAATCAGTACATAGCAAAGGACCCCAGAGTACCCTTCTTGTAAGAACCACTAACAAGGGACCCTGGTTTCAAGACAATCCCACTCAGGGCATGATGCAATTCTAGTGCTATCCGATGCCAGGTTCAAGGAGCCGCACACAGCATGATACGCAGAAGGATCTTCATGTGAACTAGAAATGACAGTTCAACAGTCCAGCGGCCAGGTCGGTTATCTGCACGTTTTCAGATCTTGCACAAAACCTGATCTCGTCACTTCTACTTTACTGAAACTCACTGAGTCTAATGATTTCGACTAGTGGTTTCGACGTGAGACTGAATCTTCTGGTGCTGAGTGCTTCTGGCTTAGGGGGGCCAGTGAGAGTGGGCACCAACATCGACATTTCCAGACAAATCTCTTGGGCCCGTACCTATGTCCTGAGCTGGTGGTTGAGGGGTGGAGGAATTTCAGAGTGCCTCTGTGGATCCCGTGCTGAGTAGTGAAGCCCCTATTTTTATGTTGAAGCCTACAACACCAAAACCCTTATCAAACCTTTGCAAACCCCTCTTCTGAGTCTACTTATTCCGACACTATGTATGGCATGGATCTCCAAAATGCAGGGTTACGGCATGTTGTCGGGTAGGGCTGAGCTCTGGGCTTGGAGTCTAAAGGCTTTGGAGTTTAGGGTTCAGGAGTTTGGGTTTAGGGTGCGGGTTCTCCCAAATCTTCATCCACATGGAAGACCTTCTCTTGCTCTCAAGCTGTCAATGACCGCTCGAACTGACTAACTACCCAACCAACCAACTATCTAACTAATTGATTAACTACCTAACCAACCAACCAACCAACCAACCAACCAACCAACCAACCAACCAACCAACCAACCAACCAACCAACCAACCAACCAACCAACTAACTAACTAACTAACTAACGAACTACCCAACGAACGATTAGCTAATGAACTAACTCGTTAATTTACATAATTAGTTGCCTCATGAAATACTTAACTGATCCATTAGTCAAGTAAATAAGTCGATAAGACCTTATACAGAAAGGGCTACCGTGGGGCCTGCGTTTGTGAAAAGGTACGTTTAACGGTAGTATATATAACAGGGGTTCCTATATGGGTACTTGCTGCCCTAGGGAATCTGAGTATACTATACTCGAAATATAGAGTACAAGCCCCAAGGAATAAGAACAACAGTACTGATAATTGTTCTGGCTAACATACCGTAGTTCGGGACAGGACAAGGCAGTGCCGAGACGTTGAGCCTGTTGAGTTTCGGGTTGATGGGGTGCAGGGCGCATGTGTCATCATTAGAAGCCCCAAGCACAAAAGCCCATAGACCCGTCTGGCTAAGAGAAAGCGGGGTAAAGCTCATGAAACAAGAAGAGTCGACATAATGCAGGGTTTTGGGGTCGGTATATTATACTATAACTAAGATAAGGAACCCCCAAAATAGTGTTGGTAATTAAAGTTTGGCCTCTATATTAAGGATTCTTGCAGCTTAAGGACTTGTAGGAAGCTCTGCGGGGTTTTCAAGGCAGGACAAGGCTCAATCGGCGGGATGGTGCTGGCTGCCTTGGCTTTCAAGTGGTTCTCGAAATTGTGCAGCGGATTTGTTTTGCCGCCTAAACCCTAAACCCTAAACCCTAAACCCTAAACCCTGCCCTCGAGTTGGCGACAGGTGTCTGCCTGAAGTCGGGTATCTTTTCTTTCAGAAATTGGGCCCACGCACAAAACCGAATGGCCAAGAGGGTGCCTTGTGCCTAGCAGTAATGGCCGTCGTTTAGCATCTATTTGAAGCGTCGTGGCTTAGGGCTTCGGGTTTGCTGAACTCTAATTGTGTTCAGGGTTTGGGGTTATAGGTCTCACTTGGGTATACGACATGTTTTGTCTAAAGCGCTTTGGAAGCTACCAGTAAGACCAAGAGCAGGGCTTCATTCAGTAGTAGGAACCGGAGAACACGGGTCCGGGTAAGGTATGAGAATCGATATGGAGAGACTGCGAGGGAGAGAGAGAGAGAGAGAGATAGAGAGTGCAAACGAGAGAAAGAGAGAGGGCAACTTTTCTCTTGAAGACACCCCATGTCGCAACACTCCCTGCGCCACAAGAGCTTAAGCAAGCGTAACTCCCTTAACCGGAAGCCCAGCGGCGGCGCAGCGTCTAGGTACCCTCGGAGCAAGACCGTTCCGTTCCAGAACGTCGTTGATGATGTTGTAGAGCTTGTGACCTAGCGTAGGATGTGCAGGAACCTACGGCTTCGAGTTTAGAAGATCCTTAATGGGAACTTCTCGGCGGCATTTCGGGAAACGTTGGCTTCATCATCGTCACCCTACGTCGGCTAGCTTTCTGGGTTTAGGGTTGATGTAAGATCTTCAAGATTTCAGGACCTCAAACAAGCCTGCCAACAGCCCTGCGTGCAATATGACACACTGTATCATCATCGTGATCATTGCAGGAACTCCTGGAAACAAGCTCGTACCGACAGCCCAATCAAGGCCATCACCACGGTGCAGTTGATGGCCTCACGGGCGAGAACTATCTGAAATCCGTAGACCCTGAGCAAACAAACCCCACAGAGCTCCATTCGGACCCTGAAATCGAATAGTCTGAAACCCCAAAGCTTGCACGAAACGATGGCCTAAACGCCTCCAATCCCAAGGCTCTCAAACGTGTCCGTGAGCGCGGCCGTACCCCGGCTAACATGCACTCAGCGCACCATACAATTATCCCTAAACCCTAAACCCTAAACCCTAGACCGGTAAACCCAAACCCAAAGGCTCGAGAATCTAAGCCCTAGCGGCTTTGGGGCCAAACCCATTAACTCCTTAAGCTCTACTCCCCAAGACGAGGATTCTCCGTCTAGGGTACTTCGCGCCCCTATTTATAAAGAGCCGGAAGCAACCCTTATACATCCATGCAGAACGAACTCCTAGAGAACCGAAACTTCCAACTAGACCCTAAACCCTAAACTCCCTAAACCCCTAAATTAAAACCCTAAACCCCTGAACCCTAAACCCTCAACCCTAACCCCTAAACCCAAAACCCCCAAACCCCCAAACCCTAAACCCTATACTATTTGAGCCCGCGGCCGTTGAAGTTGTCGTGGCGGTGACCGAGGTCACCGTGGTGGTGACCTGCAAACTAGTTTGCAGGGTTTAGGGGCCTAGGGGTTCAGGGGTTTAGGGTTCGGGGTTTTGTTGAGGTTTAGGGTTTGGGGGTTTAGGGGTTAGGGGTTCGGGCTTTAGGGTTCATGGGCTTAGGGCTTAGGAGTTTAAGGTCCAGGGTTTAGGGCGGATACACGGGTCGTATCGACTGTTGCTACGGCTTTAGACGGGTTGTTACAGGGTTCTATCAGGGTTCATCCTTTGCAGCCCTACAGTGATGCATGCCCAGACCCGATAAAGTTGATTGGGGCCCCCTGCAGTACTGAAACATGGGATCAACACACATGGGATGCTTGGAGGGTTTAGGTTTAGGGTTTAGGGTTTAGGGTATAGGGTTTAGGGTTTAGGGTTTAGGGTTTAGGGTTTATGGTTGAGGGTTTAGGCTGGGCGGCTTCGGACTGAAAACTTGCAGGGCTCAGGGCTTAAGCCTAAAGCAAGCTGGGTCCAGGTATTGAAGTCCAAGATTCGGGTTGAAACTGGGTTTTGGGCGTTGGGGCCTTTGGTTCGAAGCTTAGGTTTGGGTTTAGGGTTTCGGCTTTGGGGGGGGGTCCCAGAGGGCTCCTTGAAGGCTTTCCGTTCTGGGTTCCTATTCCGGTCTCTGGCTCGGGTTTAGGATCTACGGTTCAAGGCTTCAGCGCCGGAAGGAGCGAGGGTTCCCCTAAGCCCTAAACTTCCCTAAACTTCCCTAAACCCTAAACGCTGGGAGACATTGGGCTCAAGATTTTTGAGGTGAAGAGTTCGGAGCTTAACGTTGGGCTTACAATTTATTTGTAGGACTTTGGGCGTAGGACTTTAAGATCTAGGACTTAACTACGGCTTAGAGTTGAGGGTCAACCCAGTCTGTGTGTGGGATCCACTCGCTCTCGGCGGACTCGGTCCGTAGCCCATACTTTGGGGGCTGTTCGCAACTTGTATAAGGGGTATTCCGTCGATAACGGTTTTGGGTTTAGGCGGTAGGGCGACAAACAACTACCCCGCTGCAACCTAAACCCTAAACCCTAAACCGTCTTGATCCTCCAAGTATACTACAGAAATGAATTCCATGCCTTCTCCAAGGCTTCAAAACCCTGAGCCCCCAAAATGATGCCAACCTCCAACTCTAGGATACACCCCAGCCTTCACCCCTAAAGTTACACCGGAGACCTTAAGGCCAAACACGAAGCTCCGTACGCCCTACGCCCTAAATCGTTCGGACTCCGATACCCCGAGCCCCAAAGTCACCCCAAATGCAAAAGCGCCCAAGCTTTCAAGCCAAAGCGGCCTCAGCCAGAATTCAGTCCTACACCGTCAACCAGGTAGACCCCAAACCCGACCGCAAACTGGACTCCCGAACCTTTCGCACCGCAAAACGCCTGAAACCTCCTGAACTCCCGAACACCCTGAAGCCCCAAGGAACCCCAAACCCTGAACTTCGAAAGTCTGAATCCGCAAACCCGAGCTCCTTGAATCCTGAATTTGAGTCCCAAGCCATCAACCTGGAACCTCACCTCCAGGCATACCGGATAAGAGCCATTCAGCAGTCCGTCTGGTTGGCCTGGGCTCAACCGGGAGTTTAGGTTGTAGCTAGAGGGCTTTAGAGTGTAGCGTTGACGGGTTTAGGGTGTCCGGCCTTTAGGGTGCTTCTAGGAAGTGGCTGAGGTTTCCAATGCAGGCTCCTCATTTACGACACCTATTTTGATAGGGGTGCTTTCTTAATCATAAAGGTTGCCTAAACCCTAAACCCTAAACCCTAAACCCTAAACCCTGAACCCTAAACCCTTATTTAATCAGGATCCTGCATGGGGCTTGGGGCTTTTGACTTTTCGACCACGGTCTTCGGATCCGGCATATAGGGTTTAGGGTTTAGGGTTTAGGGTTCGGACTTAAGTGCTTGGATTTGAAAGGATAAGACAAGGGTAGAGGTCACGGTTGAGGTTGGGTTTTTCCGTTTGGCGGGCGTTGGGAGTTGGACTGATCTTTCTAGTGGTGAACACGGACTGAAGCCCATGTATGATTGTTACAAGACGATACAAGAGCTGCAAGACCCGAAATCCAGAACCCTAAACCCGAAACCCTAAACCCAAACCCGAAACTCTAAACCCGAAACCCTAAATGAGGTCTTCTTCTGGAACCTCTGCCTGGATACACCAACATTCACCCCCCGAAACTTGCGCGAAATACCCGACATTGAACCTTCCAAAAACGGCTGAAATGTGTTGTTTTTAATGGTTTCAGTGTTTAGGGCTTAGGGTTTAGGGTAGGGACCTCACGAACTGATGTGACGAATTCGGGTTGAACGAAGCCGTTCAGGGATTGAACGAGGCAAATGCATGATGAGTCAGGAGACTAGGACAGAGTCTCATCGTACTCTGACCGTCGAACTGAGGCCCTGGTTCGGCGAAGAGTACTATGCACGACAAGGCCAATTACCCTCCAAGCGAACACGGTTCCATGTTGGTTTACTCAACCCCAGACACCCAAACCCAATGCCTCAAGGCAGCATCCTTGACCTGAAACCCTGAAGCTTAGATCCCTAAACCTCTCACCTCCAAGCAGCACCCTCTGAACGGAATCCCCTCCGTTAGAATTTGACGAGGATTGTGGGGGTATAGTTCCTCTATACTGAGGCTTGTCCGGCCACCTTCAAGGCCCTTACATGCGTGCTTAAAGCCCGAAAAAGTCTTGGAGAATCTGCCACAGCCGAGGCAAGGGATCCCATACAAAGGACAGCGTTTCTGGGGTTTAGGGCTTGGAAGGCTTAGGGTTTAGGGTTTTTTGCAGGGCTGCAAATGGATAAAGCTAAGAGGTACTATAGCACCATGAAGACATGGAGCACTGTTACGGTTCGGGCTCCTGTGATGTGGGTAAAGAAGCTTTAAGACTACTCCAAAAAGCTCGCCTTAAAGCCGGAAGCCTAAATCATATCCTCTGGACCATACCTGAAATGTTAAACCGTCAAAACCCTAAATCCATGCCAAGCGGCAAGTCCAGATGTTAGAAGGGCCCTCAAAGCCCGCAGCACAGGCCACGGTGCACGTGGCATCCGTCCTTCTGCGGCTTGTGGGCTGAAGGCTTTACCGTTGTGGGTGCAGGGATCTATCGTTGTGAACTCAGGGGTTTAAGGTTGAGGGCTTTGGGTGCAGGGATGTAGTTTTTACGGATTTGGCGACTGAAGGGTTTGAGTTCTCGCCACCCATGGAGGCTTCTTGAGGTTTGAAGCACTTAAGAGGCTCTGTCTGTCAAACGGCTGGGAGGTTGGATTTAGGCAAGTGAACACCCTACTAAACCCTGAACCCTAAACCCTAAACCCTACTAAACCACTTAACCGTGGGTACCGGGTTAAAGGCGTTAGGATTGGGTGAGTGCTGCTGTGTGCTCAAGATTCTTGCCTTGGATTCGGGAATCTCGGCTCCTCCTCCTCCCACCACTCCTTCTACTTCTACTACTCCTGCTACACCTACTACACCTACTACTACTACTACTACTACTACTACTACTACTACTACTACTACGACTGCTTCGACTACTACTACGACGACGACGACTACTACTACTACAACGACAACAACAACAACAACAACAACAACAACAACAACAACAACTACTACTACTACTACTACTACCACTACTACAACTACTACTACAACTACTACTACAACTATACTACTACTACTACTACTACTACTACTACTACTACTACTACTAACTGGAGCGAGCAGAAGCACCAGTAACACCAGTAGCAATGGTTGTTGCTACTCCTGCCGAGCCAGGCTGCCTGAACGGCAGCCTGTGAGGGCTCTACATGGTAAAGAATCAAAGTCGCTCAGCGGGCTAAGTGCTGAGAAGGGGCAGCGTCGAGTCGCAGTCGTGCACATACTCGAAGCCGAAAGGAATGTTGTAGAGGCAGGGTAGTGCTACACAGACCTCAGGCGCTTAGGGTTTGGGATCTAAGCCGTTTCCAGGGCGGCAAGGCCAGGGCTTGCGGTTCAAGCTGGTGGGGCCATGCATATGTCCAAGCTGCTGAAGTTGCAAGTCGCCAAAGCAAACCCCAGCCGGCAAAAAATGAGTCTGAACAGCTTATTCTCATTGGACTCACAGATCCTTACAATCGCTACCCTATTTTTTTATCGTTAGACATCCCCCCAAGCCCCGTTTCCCTCCAGTGGAAACTGAAGGCTTAGAAAGTTCTCTTGGCGCGTAGATGGCCGATTTCTTCAGGGATCTAACGGCCCTTTAGCGTCGCGGGTATCGAATCATAGGGCTTTGGGTGTTCCAGGGTTCGGATTTGGCGAGAACACAGGTGGTGCAAGTGGGGCACCGGAAGCACACCACGGAGAGCATATCCATCCTTCGCTGCTCTTCGGCTTTGGAGTGCGTTGGGGTTTTGGGTAAGGGTTGGGGTCTTAAACACGATGCTTGCCCATATTTGTCTTACCAGTGCTGTGCATGCCTGGTTTGGTTATCGATGCGACTCCATTTTCCTGCTTCGTACTACGAGCCACATTGCAGCTAACAATGTTCACTGGCGGGCTGAATACTGCTGTGACGGGATATCTGCTTTCATTGAAACAAGGACTGCTTGACTGCTTCATCTGCTCCCAACCTCATGATGCTGACTATGACTGCTCTCGGTAGGATCATCTGCTACGAGCACGTGGCCTCAAACCATCGGACCCATGTCTCTGAAATCCAAGAGCCCCTAAGAAGCGAGAATGAGGAGTTACAACAAGTAGGAAAGGCTCAGGGATACAAAAGGCACTTTCTGTAGGGACGGCGTTAAGAAAGCAGAGTATGATTCATCTTGTCCTCACATACCTTGGCATCCCTCATTTATCCAGCTGCAGCCTTCATACCACCCGTACTTGCTTTCAAAATCCTGTAAACTCTCGCAGGGTTCCTAGCAGGAAGAGCTCCTTCTCGTTGGTCTTAACAGCCGGGAATCTACTAACTTGGGTTGACAATACACAACAGGAATGCCATTTTTCTGAACTCCCTTCTCTTGACATGTCCAATCCTGAACCCTAACATCCCTTCCCTGTCAACACTCTAAATTGAACTCCACGTCCTAGACCCTAAACCCTAACCTTTCATCCACCTTCAAAACCTCTCAACCCTGAACCCCGAATCGCCCCCTTCGAAACTAGACCCTCAACCCTCCCTTTAAGTACAGTACCATCTTCGCCTGAATATAGCCACCCCGGCCCAAACAAATACGGAGATCCTCCCAACGCCTCGTGCTCTGCAAAGAATCGAAATCCACGCTTGTTATGTCGATCCAAAGCGGCGTCGGATTCAGAATGTAGGGTCTAAGGTCTGGGGCGTCGGGTTTAAGATTCAAGGCTCGGGCTTCAATGGCCCAAAACCTTAAAGCAGGTGAAAGACCGACACGCAAAAACCATGCAACCTTGGGCTACGCTGCCCCACCCCAAGACCTTGTACAACCCGACACGCGTTTTTGGGGCCCCAGGTTCGATGGCAGGCACGTCGCTGACGGCTGCAAGGCCGCTGGCCTCGGCTCTTTGGCATTGGGAGTTTAGGCTTTTGGGGTCTAAGGCTTACAGGGCTGATGGGTTTTTGGGGGGCTTTGGGGCTTTGGGGATGTACGATGAAGGGTTTGAGGACCAGGATGTAGGTTGGAGGGTTACGCATTGATCTTGGGGCGCCTGGGGTTGGGCTTGTCAAGCTGAGAGTTTGGAGACCCCAAAACTCCAAAACCAGGGATCAACAGCTCAAACCCCCTCCCTGACTAGAGAAATCCTCAAACCCCAAAACACGAGACTCCAAAATCTTCAGCCGCCTTCGGATTTAAGCATGAACCTTTCAGCCGGGCCCGACCCCAAAAGCCTGAAACCTAAACACTGAAGCTCAGAAAGGCGACGCCGGCTTGCGGGACTTGAGAATGGGGATCGATCCGGCTTTAGGGGTTTTGGGGTTTAGGGTTTAGGGTTTAGGGATTTAGGGTTTAGGGTTTACTCTCATAAGCACAGCGGCTTCAGTGGCACATGTCCACATTGGCACCTCCGCTTGGCTTCAAGCTCGGGGGAACACTTTGCAGGGAAACCACAAAGCCCAGCATTCTTGAATCCTAAGGCTTGAGCCCGAAACCCTAACAGCCCAAACAGTGATACCCTACACCCTAAACCCTAAACCCTAAACCTTAAGCCCAACTCTGCATGCCTTTGACTAAGAATAAGCCAGAGATGACTGGAACGAGATCTCTGGAGTCTGAAGTCTCAGGAACCCGAAACCCTAAACCCTAAACCCTAAACCCTAAACCCTAAACTCCACTTGCGTCACTGGCCACACCCCAGTCAAGTGCAGAAGTACGGGAACCAGCGGGGGGGGTCTGAATGATTCAGGGCTTGGAGGTCAATTTGTTGCGTTTTTTCCCGTTACGCCTTGTCAGGAAGGCGCTCAGGATCTTGAAGGAAGTGTACTACCCTACACCCTAAACCCTAAACCCTAAACTGTATACTAACCATTCAGGCTCTTGAAGCCCTCCAAGCGGGCTGCCGCCGTGACCCGGAGAGAAATTGAGGCACCGAATAAGGTTTTGCGGTAGATTGCTTTTAGGGTTTAGGGTTCCGGGCTTCAAGAACAAGGAAACTCAAGGAATGGGCTCCTAAAGTTTGAGTTTTCGTCAAAGTCCCAAACCCCGCACACACCAAGGCTACGGATCTAGCGATCTACGTAGAGGCTTGTGGGCTGAGGTTCCTGAAGGGGGTCTAGGGCTTACGGTGTCGGGGTTAGGGTTGTAGGGCCTAGGCTTTAGGGGCGCATGGCTTTGGGATTTGGGGGCTTCGTGGCTTGGGGATCTAGGAGTTTGGGTTGTTTCTCTGAGGGGAGTCTGAATGGCAATATGAGGTGCCTTTAATGATTAGGCGGTATTTTACTGTATCATCTTAAAGCAGGGTATGTGCAGCTGGTGTTCTCCAGCCATAGGCTTGCTTCACCTAGACTGCTACATTGCTGTACTTAGTGTCCACGCCGGTTGCAAGAGGGTCATAGAGTCATAGGTCAAGCTGCAATTGGGAAAAAAGACTCAGCCAGGGAGTGCAAGCAACAGTGCAGGTGACAAACCCGCCCCTCAAGCCCAAAATATCAGCGTCTCAAGCGCTAATCCCTCATTCCTACAGCCTACACCCAGGGTTGTGGCATGTCTTCGAGAAGGATGTAGGGCTCAGGGGGAAAAAGCTGTCCCATGCATGTTCCCTTGCATTCAGGGTTTTTCGTCAACCTCCTGGGCTCTCCATGTCTTCAAAGTTTCGAGGCTTATGGCGCAGGTAAAGGATGAATACAAGGAAGCTCAGGGTTCGGGGGAAGGGGAGGTTCTGGATGGCTGTGGCCTCATTCTGCTGGAGCTCGAAGCCGTCGCGACAGTAGGCATAGCAGGAGCGGTTTGCCAGGACCTAGGAACAAGGGCTTCTTCTCAGAGTAAGGGGTTGAGGCTTTGCTGAAACATGACGCCGAATACTGGACCCATTAAACACGACTGTCCCTTCTAGGCAAAGGGAATTCGAAGACAATTTATCCCGAAACCCTCCATGGAGCCCCTTCTTGGCTGCCACCAGCCCACGCCATCGCAGGTGTGCAGCACATTCAGAAGTGACACGCTGGTGTTGCAGGCGACAGCTGCACCTCGCAGCTCCGACAGCGGGTTTCCGTGGGGCTTCGGTGGTTTTAGGGTTTAGGGCTTCGGGTTAAGGCAAGGTTTCTGAGAAGTTTGGCAAACCATAGTGTTCAATAGTCCTCATGTGCAGAAGGCTCTGAGCTGAGGGATCCTTATGCCCCGAAGCACTAGATCCTGAAAACCTCAGCCACATGCCTAAGGCGTTTGGGTGTTTGAGGTTTGATGAGGCGTCGCTGGATGAGCGCGCTGTGCATTGCGACGAGACTACTGCGAGCAGCCTCCCTTCGAGAACTACACTAGCCGGGTTCCCCAGTAGCCCCTTAGTAATGGGGGTACCATTTTCCTACTGCTGGGGAACCTAGCTAGTAGACAGCCTGTTCTGTTTACAGTGTCGAAGCCTCGTTCGGTGAGATTGCCTTTGCACCGCCCTGCGTCTTGCAGCATTCAGGGTTGCGTCGTCTTGCGGGACCGGATTTGGCCGTGTCTGCTTGGGGCTTCCGGTGTAAGCAATTACGGGATTGCTGTCCAATACCATCCCTACCTTTCTCTTTCAAAAATACACAAATACAGCCTATCAGACTTAGGCATACCTAAACCAGACCACCCCTTCCGGCTCGCAATGCTGAGTGAACCTTCAACCTCCCCCTCAAACTTCCAACTCTCAAACCCTAGCCACAGGATTCCGTCTAGAAGATCTATGGGTTTAGGCTCTATGGGCGGCCTTGGAAAATTCCGAAAGTCTTGCCCTTGGCGCAGTGTCTGAGGTTTCAGCAGGGTCGCTTGGGTGCCAAATCGGGTTCTTGAGGGTTCCTCGAAGTAGGGTATAATCAGTAAAGTGTGCTTGGCGTACATCTACACTAATCTACAGATGCTACGCGCACATATGTACATGTATTTATACAACACATTGTGTACCGGGTGTACCGAGGTTCCTAGCTGCATGACCTGCTACTCAAGAACTGAAGCACCAACTCTTGCAAAGGTCAATCAGGGGCGCAGAATACACTCGCGCCGTCGTTTGCGATTTGACCGGACATGTCGCAGGTGTAGACGGCGACGGAGGCATTGACCTAGGCTTGAGGAATAGGACTCGATTTGCTTTTCGTGTTGGTGCTTATGGCTCCGGGGTTGCAGGATACCCTACACCCTAAACCGGGTCAAGAGTTTACAGAACTCAAGCCTTTTTTCATTTTGACTCAGACAGTAATTAAGCCTTGAAGCCCGCCCCATTCCGTGTGGATCTCTGACACATGAGCATTGACAATTGAAAATCACCAAACGCAAGAGACCCTAAACCCCCAAAGCCCTAAAGCCTAGACCGTTTCAGAACCTCGAGCCAGAAGCGATGGAGCCTTGACGCAGTACGCTGCCTAAAACGAAATGGAAGACCTAAAACCCGACAGTCTAAATACCTGAGTGTAGGGTCACGGATTTAGGGTTCAAGGTCTGGGAAGCCTGCACCTCAAACTCCGAAAAATGTTACAGCCCGAGCCCGCAGCCAGTAAAAAATGCAATTCGGACAAGTCGTAATGAAAAAATAGGTGAGAAATTGGGATATGTTGGGATCTCCTGCCTGCGCAACCAAAAGTTTCTGTAGGGATGGAAGGGCAATCTGCATGTGTCAAACCATAAACCCTATACACCCTTTTACACAACAAATCCCAACCCTACACCTTAGATCTGAACCCGACACCCTACGGGCCCTGCACAATAAGCCCGAACCCTGAATCACTGCACCCTAAACCCCTATAAACCCTATGAGCCCTAAACCCTAAACAAGACACAATAATGCTGCCACATCTGTCACGCGGCCGGTGCGTATCCCTCCTGGCAGTGCTGCTCACAGGACCTCTGACGGGAGGGTTTAGGGTTTAGGGTTCAAGGTTTAAGGCTGTAGGGTTCAGGGCTCAGGGTCTAGGGTTTAGGATTGACTTAGGGCTTTGGGAGCTAGGGCTGAGACCACAGAAGCGAGGTATTCGGCTCTTTCGGGAACTACGGCTGCCGGCATGTGCATGTCGAGAAATGTTGGCGGATATCGGCTTGAAGTCAGACGGGCTTTGATGGAAGGTGCACACTGCCGGACATTCAAATCATCTACAAACCTTCTGCTGGAAGCCGCGTTGGGGCGTTTCTGTGGGGAGTTGTACAGAATCAAGAAATGTAGCTTTACTGGAAACTCAGCCCGCATAACAAGAGCTGAATGGGTTGCAGCTAGTCAAAGACGGCAGGCCCGTGCCGGTGGCCAATGAAGCTTAAAGAAGCATGTCTACCTGGGACCTCAACTCACTGCCACACAGAACAATGTCGTAGCTTCGCGAAATGATGGAACGTGTAGACCATGAGAGCCATCAAGCCTTCTCCCCAAACGCCCGCCTTTCGCCCCATAACCGCTTCCTACAATTCGAAACACCGGAGGCATCATCGAGGTTTTTGCCATTAGGTTCCCGGCTTGGGGCTTTCAGTCCACGCTGCTTAGCATGTGCTGACATTCTTTCAGATTTCTACTTGCAGCCACGTAATATGTCCACCCGCAATAAAATGAGCTGCATCTCGCAAGGTTGTATTTCGAGATGCACTTGGGCATTAAATACCATGAACCTTCATATCGGGTCCATGATTTGTGAATCCGGCTTCGGACTTCCTGATTCAGCTGTCAAGGCACGAAAACCCCCGAAGCCACAAATCTGGGAGTCCCAACCCAAAACCCTTACACCCAAAAGACCCTCAACCTGGGGTCGCTACGAGCCGGCTGGGATGTTCGTGCAGTTGTCCACCAACACGTCGCTTTGGCTCAGGCTGGCGCAAGTAATGCGCTCACCTTGGCACGAGAGAGGCGTTAGGGGCCTTGGAAACCTGCAAGACTGTCGGGCCTAAGGGCTTGCAAGAACAGTTTCAGGGCTTGGAATTTCAGGAGCTCGGAGTGTCAGGTTCATGGGTGAGAAACGCTGATTACAAGCTACTCAAATCCCGCTTGAGCCCCACCTTGCAAATACAGCCTCGGTCAAGGCCTGGTTGTCCTGGGGCTTACAGTATCGGGTGGTGAAGAATGGTTGTTCAAGCTTGTGGGCTCCTGCACGCTCCAGATCCAAGGCAGGACTCATCGACCGACCTCGGGAGTAGCTATCACCGCAGGTCTACAAAAACGCTTCCGACTATGCCCGCCACAAAGCCGGCTGGACTATGACGGCTTTGGCGAAAAGTTCTGGGTCGACAAGCGCTATGGAAGTGGAGGGGCTCAAGCACGCTCCCACAGTGGCTGGGCGGCTTACGCCGTGAGTTTTAACTGGCTTTGGGCTTGGGGCTGTGGGTTTAAAGCTTTGGGTTTGGACCACAAGGTTTAGGGTTTTGGCCCCGAGCCCGAAGCCCCCGTTCGACGCCACGTCGCAAGGTGGGATCGCGCCTGAAAGGATTGGTTGACCAGAACCATCGAGAACACAGTCCCAGACCTGTGGCTGACGGGTTTGGGGCTGAAGCTTTTTAGGCTTTTCGGGTTTTGGGTCGAGGCTGTCGGGGTTAAGGATTTTGGGTTTGGGGTTGAAGGCTTGGACTAGGGTATGTTAGGGCAGCCGTTTTGGAATTCAGGCAAGCCAGGGGTGTTCAAAGCATTTCGGGCTGAGAGCCCTACAGATCGGCCGTCAAGCCCTAAACCTTGCAAAGACGGGGTCTTCACCGGCACCATCTTGCAACCTTCAATCCCAAACCCTGAACCCTCAACCCTAATCTGTTGAGAATCCAGAACCCAATGTGGGCTCACGGTCTATCACCCCGAGAATGTGTAATCTAAAGGCCTTAGAACCATTAGAATAGGGTTTTGTTTTGAGGCAACTTATAGATATTATAGTGTATAGCAAATCAACCGACGAATGTCATGTGAAATTATATTCAGGCTCCTATATTGAGATTGAGGCTCGGAGATCGGGGTTTGGGGTGAGTGTCGGGTCTTGACTCAAGACTGCCCTGGAAGCAGGACAGACAACCGGAAGAGCCCTCCCCCCATTCCTCATCACAGCCCGCCTCCCCGAAATCAGTTCCATTGAGCTGATACCTGCCATGCGGACTCTTGCACTGCAGAACCTTACTTGGAGCGAGCGTCATCCTGTGTTCCTCCCCAGTAAAGTCCTAGAACCCCAGCTCAGTTCAGAAGCCCAGAGAGCCAAACCAAGGGCACAACGTAGGTTCCCTCAAAAAGGGCCAAAGAAAGCACCAAAACCTCAAGAAGGGTGAAGGGTTTAGTGTTTTCAGGAAAGAGTGGTCAAGGCTGTACTGCGGATTCTCTCCCTTGGGAACTTCACCTCACCAGACGCATGCGTCTTCACCCAGCCTGTACAGCCAACTGTAAACCCGAAGGCTTTACTGTCCGCATCCTCCATGCTACATCCCCAACGAAAGCCCCAAACCCTAAACCCTCGACGGTAAGCTCTAAGCCCTTCCCTGCACCTCCCAACCCAAGGTTGTGGGACAGTTGATACAAAAGCCAGAAAAAAGAAACTCAAACAGTAGTAATAGTAACTCGCAAGGAGCTTTAAGGGGCAGTATCGAAGCCAAACACCCGAAACACCCTCCACCCCTTTTCAATCATGCCCGCAAGACCCCTCCGCACAGAACACGCTGCAGCTCCGTCCGAAGGGGACATCCTGACAGTTGTGATCCAACGACGGGTCCTGCGGTAGGCGGATTGTTGAGGGTTTAGAGTTTAATGTGGCTCGGGTTAGTCTTTAGGTTTTGGGGTTTAGGGCTTGGGCTTTAGGGGAACGTTTGGCCTGTATGCCTACCTGAAATCTTCTAAGCCCAAAGAAGACACGAAAACAAAAACGAACCGTCAGACCCCAAAAGTCTCCTCCAAAGCCGTGCTGGCCGGGCACAGCGCAGGTCTGCAAATCCTGAGATCAAAACTTTTGGAAGGGGCATTTAGGTTAAGTTTCATAGAAGCTGTTAAGGGTTTGGGTGCCGAAAACGCTTAGAGTGACATGTTTTGAGCAAAAGTTTCATGTTGAAAATGTGAAATTATTGGGGGGGGGCCTGTGTGGCATTGAATCTGGCTGCGCAAGTCGGAGCAGGATTCGAATTTTGGTTAGCTGGCTGCGATTTGGGGCTGGGCTGGGGCTGGGCCGCTGGCTGGGATGAATAAACAATTTCGAAAGGGACTCCTCATCTTCATCCCGGTGCCCGCTAGTATCTTCACACATCACACAGTGCCATCGAAAATCACAAGTGTCCTCCCCTGGTAAGGCGCTCCGCCTGCTCGATGAATAGCCCACGCATAATCTGGCTTAAGAGTACAGGCACGCTGACACACAAGGTCACAAGGGGCTACGGGCGCGATTTGAACGATGCATGAGGGGCGACGACCTGCATCTCACCCCAGCACGATTCGCCCCCGAGGCAGCCAAATTCCGCCGGTGCCCTACCTCGTGCTAGCATCATGCCGAGTTGATACCATTGTCTATGCGAAACTGTCGCCAAACACCACCAAAGCAACTGGAACTGGTAGAAGACATGACACGAGCGTCTCTCTGAAGTGCGCCTTCCCTATATCTTCGGGTACAGCACAAGCTGTCGCTCCAGCAACTTTAAAATTGAGCACCATGCTGCGATGGGGTCTTTTCCCTGTTTTCAGCGGGTGCTTCCAGATGAAGGCACCGGTCAAGTCTGCAAAGTTGAGCACCCGAGCTTCGTGTCTGAGGTTTAGTCTATGAGTCTATCTGTTTCCGCTGTTCTGGTCTTAGCTCCGGACCGCGTGTCTGGGCGGAGGCAGAATCCGCAGGTTCTCCGTGTTTCGTGTGCACAAGACCTATCCCGACTCCATGTCGAGACGCGGGCCGTGTGCTTCCGAGACCTGGCTCACGGAAGGAGGCTAAATGATTGGGCAAAGGTTCTTTTTCTGAAGGTTGCGTCCCCGCCTGAATGTGGTATTGCATCTGTTCTCTCTCGCGCATGCGCCGAAGTTTTAATTTCAGCTCTTGCTCGTGCCGCCAATGCATCCCAATTGCAGCCGATCCGGATTATCATTGAACGGCGTTGGTTGTTGCATGTGACAACAAACGCTTTCAAAGAATTCGCATAGATCCCTGATGTGCGCACTTTTCCAACTGCTTTCACTTCGGTGGCGTCTTCTGCGACATGACTCTCTCGGAGTCTGATCTTTCGTATCGAAGTAGACCTGCA